ACGCAAGCCAAATACATTATATTTGCCGCCCCAAATGGCGCTTGTTTCTTATGAATGTACGAGCAAATTTGAAAATAACACAGCGGCATAGACCCTGGTAACCAGGCTAAAACTCGGGAATGTAAAATGCCAGCAAGGAGCGAAGTGGACTCTCTCAGCGCTCAGTGGACTAAATTATGACGAATCTGCGGCATGAAAATACTTTACACTGTAATATACAACTTTGACCATAAATTCACGATCCTCATAAATGTATCTCCATTTTGCACATGTTTGTGAAAATCCCGACCTCTTCGTGGTCAAGCTAAAATGCGGATGTAGAGTCCACATACATGAATTAATCAAAGTAGTGCACGTTTCTACCTAACTTTTCTTCAGTGTGAACTATGGAACCAGATTTAAGCGACGTCTCGTAGAAGTTCTTGTCCATGAAATAGATGGTCCGAGATTTGCGATGACATGACATGCTATCACATGTTATGCGATACGTTAATTTAATTTAATTTAGGTAGTCATATCCCTGGCCTTTTGTTAGGCATTTATCAATATTTTTTCAAAATTTTGATTTTGTGTGTTTTAGGTATTTTAAATAGTGTAGTTTTAGAATTTCAAATTACTTTCACGAAATTTTTAATTTTTAAATGCGAAAAATGCTTCTGAAGTTGTGGTTATACAAATTTTCCTTCTTAGCAACGCCTTAGCAACGACTTTTCATCCATATATCTTCGAATTGTTCAGCTATGAACTATCTTTTCTGGTTTCTACTTTTCGTGTATGGTATTTAAAGACTTTTTTGTAAGCTGCAATTTGATTGGCCCATTTTACAAGCATGCGCGATCACAAAAAAATATATAAAAAAAAAAATAAATTGCATAGCAAATTCGCGATCGTCTTTGACACACTGTCTGTAAACATCTGCTCGAAATTGTTCGTTTTTCCTGTATATTTCCATCGAAAATTACTTCTGTTTGTTAAATATTGGTTTGATTTAGTTATTGTTTGTGGTTTCCTATAAAAATATGGGAAATACTCGCAATAGAAAGAAAAAACGAACAAGAGTTGCTTGGCAGAAGAGTGCTAAAAAATTCAAAGATGGCGAACCATGTGATCAAAACGCTGGGCCTTCTAAGATGAAGATTGGCGATGTGGAGGGAAAGTTTGGCGAGAATTCTGGTTCAATGGATTCTGGCAAAGAAGGCACCTTATTTATGGACATGTCAGTTTTATTTGGCGTGTTTCATCAAGTCTTAAAATGCCCAGAATGTGGACACAAAATGACTTCTCATATTGACATGAAGAAGCATCGCTTTTCACATTACATTGTACTGGAATGTGAACATACTGAATGTGACTGGAAATACTGCTTCCATAGTTCGAAAAAACAAGGGCCATCATTTGAAGTAAATGTGAGAGCTGTCCTTGCATTTAGAGAGATTGGCAGAGGCCATAATGCTATGGTGATTCTCACCAAACTTATGAACATGCCACCACCACCAACCCGTCGTAACTTTACCAAAATACAGAACAAAAATTTATTGCCTGTTGTTAAACAGGTAGCCAATGACAGTATGATGAACAATGCCACGAATGTCAAGGATTCCTGTGGAAATGACAAAGGTGAATGTGGGATTTCCCTTGATGGTACTTGGCAAAGACGGGGCCATGTGTCACACAATGGTGTTGTTACCGCAATAAGCCTGGATACCAAGAAAGTTCTGGATGTCGAAGTACTCTCCGACAAGTGTCAAGCATGCCAGAAATGGCAAAAGAAACAAAATGATCCAAAATACCAAGAATGGAAGGCAAACCACCGGTGTAAAATCAACCACACTGGGAGTGCTAACTCCATGGAAACAGTTGGTGCTTTGCGGATTTTTGAAAGGTCATACATATCACGGGGTCTACAATATAAGGACATGCTTGGTGATGGGGACTCAGCAACATATAATAAAATTGTTCAGAGGAAGCCTTATGGAGATGAATGTATACCCAAGAAATTGGAGTGCATTGGTCCAAAAACGGGTTGGCAGCAGGTTGCGCAAGTTAAGAAGTGCAAATAAAGGTTTGAAATTGGCTGATGGGAAAGGACTAGGAGGCAAAGGAAGATTGACTGATGGAAAGATTGATGTTTTGCAAAACTATTATGGACTTGCTGTGAGGGAGAATTTGGATGATGTAGACCAAATGGCCAAATCGATTAAAGCAAGTTTATACCATGTTGCTTCGACAGATTTAAACCCTCAGCATCATCTTTGTCCGAATGGCGAAGACAGTTGGTGCGGATACAAGAGGGACGAAGAATCGTACAAACACAAGAATGGTATCCCTGAGTGCATTGTCAAGAAAATTAAACCAATCTTTGATGAACTAAGCCAACCTCAATTGCTCCAAAAATGCACTCATGGAATGACACAAAATGTCAATGAGTGTCTAAATGGCCTAATTTGGGATCGCTGTCCCAAAACCACATATGTGGAACATGAAACTGTAGCTCTGTCTACATATTTGGCTGTTGTGAAATTTAATGATGGGGACATTTCCTTTCTAAAGATTTTTGAAGACTTAGATATCAAGCCTGGTTCATTTACTGCACAAGGTTGTCAAGATTGTGACCAATCACGAATTGAGCTGTCGGCCAAAAAGAGCAAGGAAACAGTAAAAAGTAGAAGAAAAACATTGAGGCACCTCAGGAAAAACTTTGTTGATGAGATAGAAGAGAAAGAAGGTGTGGTTTATGAAGCTGGGAGCTTTTAACACTTTTTAAGGTACATTGACATTAAAGCAAACTTTTCAATTCAATTTTCTCATTTTTGCTATTTCTCAGGTATCATCGATCTTTGTTACATTATAATTTTGTAAATATTAGCTGTATTAGATTGATATTTGGTGTGGTTACTTTCAATAACATTATCTAGTGAATAAAGCTCTTCAGATATTGATATTTTTTATCATTGATGAATTATTTGCAAATTGCTTCCACAAAGGCACTAATTTATTCATAAAATTATTCAAATATTTAAAATTTGGCTCAATTTTTTTTAAAAGGATTTTAAACAAAATTGAAGAGCTTTAGGCACTAGTTCATTCTCCAAGCTTTCTGAAAATATATTGTTCATTAAATTTGGTTCATTGGTTCCTGAGTTATGATGTTTCCGATGCTTTGCAATTATGCGTTAATTAGTGGCCGCCATATTGGATAATTAGTGTAATTAATGTTTTTCCCAAATTTTTTTTCCATGGGTCAATTCTCTTTCCCTTACCCTTTCAAAATATGATATTTTCACATTGATCTCTTTAAAAACTAAGAAAAAAGTTGTAGTGGGGTTTGACAAAATGTTGTTTTCTCGGCCCAAAATGGTGGACTAAAAGGAGCTGCATATACAAAATGTTTTATCGCGTAGTGGGAAACAAGTGTTTATTAAGGACTTGGAAAGACGGTCGACCAATGTATGTATTCTCCGACCCGACGTCATCAATTTTTCATCTCGCTAACTATCTACAGACCTGTGGCAAAAAGTCTTATCACAAAAACGTTTTCCGTCGGGGGGAGGGATTCGGAAAATTTTTCGGAATATATATATATTTCTTGCATTTTCCACTATTACATTGCATATTTCTTGTTTTAAAATTTATTTCCCCATCTTTTTGCGCAACTTTCGTTTATGTAGCTAAGCCTTTATTTTTTGTTTGTATTTTCCAAGTCAAAATCGGCAAAAAATTGTCCATCCCGGTCAGGTGGGATAAATTAAGCCTACATATGGAAAATTTTATCGCAAACGTGCCGTGCTGGCTCGTTCCTCATTAGACTTGCTCCAAGTCTCTCTTTCATTGTCATATGGTGTCGGTCCACTATAGTGTACATTACAGGACGTAGTACGGAGGGGCGGAGCGAGAAAGAGAGACTTGTCAACTTCGGAAAATCTCGGATCAAAACTGAACCGAAAGTGCAAGACTTGCTTTAATTGTTTCCTGTCAGTGTTTATATATATTGATCTAGCACGGTGTAAATAACATGAGTTCCATTTTCGGTTCAGTTTTGAACCGAGATTTTCCGAAGTTGACAAGTCTCTCTTTCTCGCTCCGCCTCTCCGTGCTACGTCATGTAATGTACACTATAATGGATCGATATTATATGACAATGAAAGAGAAACTTGGAGCAAGTCTAGTTCCTCATCTGATGACAAATTGAATTTTATATGACTTATAACATATGTGTTAACAAAGGGTATGTCATGCGGGTCTCACTCAGCAGACCCTTGGTTGATAAACGTACCGATAACCATCAAGATTACATAAAGATTGGTTTATTTGATTCTTCAAACTAACACTATTCGATCTGGCCATCCACATTAATTAATGTTGATAATCACGAATATTAAGGGACCGGTCATTATTTATGGCGAGGGGTGGCACCGAAGAGAAATGTTTTCCGTGTCAAAAATTTTGCTGACCCAACCATTAAAAAGACAAAAATTTGATTACCCAACCTCAAATATCAATTAAAAAATAAATACCCACCCCTGGCCAAAAACTTAACAAACGGATACCATTCAGTTGTCATACATGTCCTTTATCACTTCAGTGACATGAGTTTGATAATGGCTTGTGAAATTTTCTGCGGTCTAAAGTTTCATGTTGTCTGCACATGTACTTTCTTTGGAAACACAATTTGTTTTGTCAAACTATGATCAAGATAGTGACTCTGATTGATTCACATATTGTATTGACAAATGACTGTTGACATTGCTTTTCAGTCTCCAATATTTCAGTGGGTCATGCTTTGAAAATGACAATAAATTTTTATTACCCAACCCTTGAGTTGTTTTGTTTTTCATTTACCCAACCTTTTACTCACTCAAAATTTTGTTTACCCAACCTTTTTCTCTTCGTGCCACCCCCCGCCATAAATAATGACCGGTCCCTAAGTTCAAGTATTCGATATTATGACGACTTTTTGCCCAACCTATCTACTACCAATGAACATATCCAAATTACAAGACTCAAATGTAAAATGAACTACAATACTGGATAACCATACCAACGAAGATCAAGACCAAAGACTGGCTGGTTTTGTTTTCTGTGTTACAATCTGCTGGCCCCTTCGAAGAAGCACATTCAATATGGATGTTATCTAACAATGCTTTTGCTTCATCCTTCCAGTATTCGTCAAGAACCTCCTCGAGCAGTGCGTAATACTTGTTTCTTTTCTCTTTTAGCTGCACGGAGTCTGTACAGGCTGGGTGTGGAACAATACAGTTTTCCCGTCCATCGCATTTTTTATACTCGCCAGAGAAAGCGTACTTGCAAAACGACTTTTTGAATGTCTTTATGCCATCTTTTATCTTGAGGATTTCTTTTGTTTTATTTTTGATAAATGACGGTAGCGCGTCATCCGGTGCAGTATATCCTTTCGCACGAAGTTTCCAATAGCGAAATATTTTCCAACTGTCGCCATTGTACCAATTCTCCCATTGATCAGGCGGAACAGGAATTCTGATCTTCTTGTTACACGTATCCACTACACCCGATCCAGGAAGGTCAATCACGACGCCTCTGTTGTTTATGTCGTCTTCGTAGTACCCGAGTGAATTCGTGGTGTATTCCAAGTTGGTCAGTTCATAAATGAAAGTTTTGTTCCAATTTGCCAAATCAATTTCTTCCCCGTCTGCTTCAGTTTGATCACCGATATGCACGATTTTTAACTTCGCATCCTCGCGTGGAGCTTTGCAATATTTTGAATCCCAATATTTCTTGCAAATACGCACGACTTCGTTCACCCCACACGGTGTATCAGCATCAATATCCACAACTTGACCACCAAGAAATTGATCACGAACAGCCCCCCCAAATGGTAAACATATACATCCATTCTCCTTCAATTTGTCAAATACATCTCTGATTGTCGTGTTTCCAAGTCCCGGTACACGGGCCATTAAAGCCTTGTTCATACCTTAATTTAATTTAATTTATTAAAGTGCTTATGCGACGAAATTTCACACCATTTTTAATTGTAAAGAAAATTAAAATTGACCAAATAAGACGTTTTGGTAAGCTATCTTAACTTGCTTTGTTCTTGAGATCATAGTCAATATAGAGCGTTTGCACATGACGTCACAGCCGCCATGTTGGTGTTCCAATTCAAAAGAATTTTAATTAGACCCTTTTGTTTTGAACACCAACATGGCCGCCATGGCTTTTGTTGAGTTGGTCCCTGGGGAATGAGTACCAACGCTCTATATGATAATTAGGTTAGGAAATTCGATGCAGATATGATAGTCCTCATTATCTATGTTTTTGTCAATTTGTCTTGGTTTGTGCAAGAAATGGTCGGTTCGTAACTTCATCGTCAAATGTGTATTGTATTTTCGCCAGAGCAACCAATAGCTATGTTTTCATTTAACCATTGTGTAATAATATCACGGTTGCTATTGGTTGCCGGGTTGGGTGAAAAAACAATACACACGTGACAAAGAACCGACCACATTTTTGCATAAACCAAAGACTGCAATGGTACAAGAAAGGTAATGGCTTGCTCGCAGCCCCCATCCGAAAATTTGATAGAAGGTAGCATTCGACAGTTAAAAGTCTGATCTTTTTTGGATGAACAGTGGCGGAATACCGCGGAAATCTCGGTGGGGAGGTTTGTCGGGAATTTGAAAGTTTTGTCGGAAATTTAGGAGGCTTTGCCCCTCCCACGGGAAAAAGTGAATTTATGCCACTGGCGGTATGAAAAAAGTTCTCAAAATGGATAAACGTATTTAAATATATAATGCACGATAACATGCCAGAGTTGATTAACCATTTTCACTCTGTATAACAAGAGCTCCCGATTCTTTATCCATGGCCCACCTAGCATAATCCTGATCAAATTACCCAGACTACAGTAGGAAAAAGGTTACAATAAAGCCTGGCGCACACGATGCGATTTTAGTCCGCCGATAAAAATCGTTTGACTAAAACTAACAAACTTGTGTGTGCGGTGTGACATTTTTAACCGATTTTTGTTGCTCGATTTTAATCGGACAACATCAAAACGTTTTGATATTTTACGATTTTTGTCGGTGGATTTTTAAGTATAACCAATCAGATTTCATGCTGTGATCACGTGCTTGTATTTATTTGGCAACATGGCGGCTACAGTTCAGGGAGCGTATTTTTTTCGTAATCGTGTGCGGAGTATACCGATGTATATCGGTATATCAAACGATTTTTATCGGCCGACTAAAATCGCATCGTGTGCGCCAGGCTTAACCAGGAAAATAGGGTTATTTTTATATGTCACCAGAGTGTCTTAGAGTGTAGTATATAGCCAGTGAGCTCTATAGATATCTGGAGCAAGAACTTCAGTCATTCGGCCTATGAGGAAAGTGAAGCCAAGATGGCGGCCATTGACGTCCAATAGCTCTGATTTTGGCACACTCCTTGCCAAGATGGCGGAAATTGGGGAGCTAAGGACGTCATTTCCAGTCCCTTTCTATTGTTTTTTTGTCTGCACGGTTAACACGGTCGGACTCGACTTCTCGCTCCAGTTGTATATGGAGCTCACTGTATATAGCCATGAAAAGGCGTTTACCTTGCGTAACGGTGTCTGACGCTAATGATGATGAAATGCTCCATTTTCTCTCCACATCACTGATTACTATTGAAAGCACTTATCCTGGCTGTGGGTTTATTCTTGCAGGCGACTTTAATCGGTTAAAATGCAATCGGATATTAACACAGTTCAGTTGCAAACAGATTGTTAACGTTTCCACAAGGGCCAACCAGACTTTGGATCTAATAATAACCAACTTACATTCGTTTTATGATAAGAAATCTGTCGAAAAATTTCCGCCATTTGGTCTTTCAGATCATAATGTTGTGATTGTCAATCCTTGCAAAAGAGAAGTCATGCAGTAGAAGAATTATCTCTAGTAGAGATTTACGATCTAGTAAAAGGCATGAGCTTGGAAGATACCTTACATCTATCGATTGGTCCTCTCTGGATCATTTTGACACATGCGAAATGAAACTCCAGTATTTCGAAGAGTTAGTACGTCTCGGTATTAGCACCATTATGCCAATAAAGAAAACGGCTTTGCATGTACACGATCCTCCATGGATTACTGCAGAATTTAAAGAGCTTATAAGGAAGCGTCAAGCTGCCTTCTGCAGTGGAAATACCTTTCAGTTCAAGTATTACCGGAATCGGGTTAACCGCGAGCGAAAGACATGCCGGGCGAAATTCTACTCTTCAAAAGTAAAGAATCTTAAATCGACCAAACCGAAGAGATGGTGGAAGGAGGTGAAGCAGATTGCTGGTATGGTACCTACAACCGGTTCCGATGACCTATGTAGTCAACTTCATTTAGACGATATCGAGAATATGCAACGTCCTGACATTGCGAATTTAATTAATAACGCCTTTTTGGAGCCCATGAACTCCTTCAATCCACTGTCAACTCTTCCCCCCTTTGATAATTATTCCTCTTTTCAAGTGAACGAATTGGAAGTCTTTCATTTATTGAAAGCAATTAATCGTGGAAAGGCGTCAGGTCCTGACGAAATTCCCAATTGGGCTCTTAAGGAATATGCTGCAATCCTTGCACAGCCAGTATGCGCTGTGCTAAACAGCAGCTATGCCGAACAACAACTACCTAAATCTTGGAAGCTTGCCAACATTGTGCCCCTCATAAAACCTAAGCCCGTTAGCGACATTTGTAAGCAGTTACGACCAATTTCACTTACTGCCGCTATTTCGAAAATCGCCGAGGACTGTGTTGTTAAAAAATACATTGCTCCAGCTATCATGAGTATAATCGATCCAAGTCAATATGGAGTAATACCAAGAAGTTCAACTACTCTCGCTGTTATATCTATGATCCATGAATGGTCGCAAGTTACTGATGGCACTGGCTCTGCTGTCAGAGTCATCCTGTTCGATTATAGAAAAGCATTCGACCTTATCGATCATGCTTTACTGGCTGATAAAATTTCCAATTTAGCTATTCCACGTGCGGTTGCTCGCTGGACAATCGATTTTTTGATGAATCGAAAGCAGAGAGTGAAATTATCCAATGACTGTTATTCGGAGTGGGGAGATGTACTTTCCGGTATCCCTCAAGGTACAAAATTAGGGCCCTGGCTATTTTGTTTAATGATAAACGATCTTGATATTTGTGATATATCGAGGTGGAAGTTTGTTGATGACACAACAGTTGCTGAAGTAGTTAGTAAGGACACAGAGAGCCGTGTTCAAGTCGCAGTTGATGTTGTGGAAGATTGGTCCAAGGCAAATGGGCTATCTCTTAACGCTGAGAAATGTAAAGAACTGAGAATCGATTTTAAAAAAATTAAACAACCTTTTGATCCTGTACTGGTGGGTGGAGAAGCATTGCCTATAGTTGAGAGTGCAAAAATATTGGGTCTTGTTATGACAGGCACACTTCAGTGGAAAGATAACATCAGAGAGAGTATAAAGAAAGCTAATAAACGCCTCTATTTTATAGTACTATTGAAACGGGCAAGCGTAAATGTCAATGATGTCTTGAACTTTTATTGTACAGTGATCAGGCCTGTGCGCGAGTATTGTGCGCAAGCCTTCCATCATTCCATCCCAAAGTATTTGGCAGACGAACTTGAGACTGTCCAGAAACGTGTGCTAAAAATTTTATCTCCTGAAATGTCATATTGTGAGGCCCTTGAGTATTTTAGACTGCCTACTCTATTTCAAAGAAGAGAGGACATGTGTGACAAACTCTTTACGAGTATCATCAAGGATCCAATGCATAAACTTCATCATCTGCTGCCCCCGAAGAACGAGACTGATTATTCTTTCAGGACGAATCGGTATTTTAATATGTACGTTACACGCACGAACCGCTTTTATAACTCTTTTATCCCTGCTATGTGTAGGAAGTTTGTAGGATAGATTTTATGCTTATTTTAATCGAATTTTGATCGTGGGTGGGTTTTTATAATATTGTATTAATAATATATTTATATGTAGTGCATGTGATAATATGTAATCCACGCAATTCAGCTTCTGGCTGCAATGTGGTTTCAATTTAATAATAATAATAATAATAATAATAAAATGTTACAGCAGGCGAACGACCCCATGGTTTCGGAGTAGCATCGTAAGATATCGAATTTGGATCAATCTTTTTATAATTAGAACACGCTCTGGTACTTCGTTTTGTGAGGGACGCATCGCTTTCGATGCTCTTTTCCACTGCAATTTTCAATCTTAAGCATGTAACCATGCAGTAGACTACAAAAAACAAAGAATAAACACAAATTAATTGGAAACTCCATGTACACATACTGCAAAAAATCCCGGAATATTTTGATTCAAACACATATTATAGCGACTCAAAATATTGATTAAACTGTTATTCTGTTATTTTTATTCGCTGCACGAATTTGTTATTCTGTTAGTTTGTCAGTCCATTAGTTCGGAATTACAAGCCTTTATCGTATTTATTTTGTTCAAAAATGGTATATCTTCGCGCTTGTGTACGTTGTTGCACTTGTTTCGCGTGCTCCAGAGCACCGGACGCGATTTGGCATGCAACGCGACGCGAATTTTCAATTTTCAAATGACATTTAACTTCAATATTTTTCTATGTTTTGGCAAACATTCGGAACCTCTTCAGCAATTTTAGCTATTTGGTCTGCATATCTTGTAAAATTTTTATCCGTTGACGGTTTTATTTGTTTTTGAAAACTAAAAAGTCGCGTTGCCGAATCGCGTCCGGTCTGTGTGGGCCCAGTGAACTCTATATATATATATATCTGGAATGATAACAGCGAGCGAAAAGTGAAGCCGACAAAAAAATCACGACATAAATATTCGTCATTGTCTTCGTCATCAACTGTTCAAGAACTTTCTTACAGTCACAGAGTAGAGACACAGAGTAGAGACATACAGAGACGTAACTAGTGTACCCACTTTTTTTGTGCGCATGCTCGGCAAGTTACTAGATGCATGCATCTGATTGGATGATGACCTGATGACGACTCACTTTAAACTTGCTGAGCACGCGCAGTAGATCATTTTTCGCCCGGTCGCTTGAAAAAAAGTGGGTACATGATAACGTAATCTTCCACAGTGTTTACAACGGTCAGTTACACGCGTAAAAATTGATCAGGTTGTTCGGCGTTGTTCAAAACAGTAGCGAACAATGTTGTGCTGCACCCCGTGAACAATATTGTTAACAAGTTGTTGAACCATCAATGTTGTTGCAACTTGTTAACATGATTGTCAACAAGTTGCAACAATGTTGATGGTTCAACAACTTGTTAACAATATTGTTCACGGGGTGCAGCACAACATTGTTCGCTCCTGTTTTGAACAACTTGCATCAACATGATGATTTTTACGCGGTACGTCTCTGTATGTCTTATCTACTCTGTGGTAGAGACTTATCTACTCTGTGTTACAGTATTAAAAATCACTTACATATAAAATTTGTAATTGTTTTGAACGTTTTTATCACAGTTTTTATATCTTTATTCACTTTTAACCTGAAGGTGGAGTTATACTTCGAAACGTAGTTATTAAAATAATTTTTTACTAAGCCCATATGGTCTAATTTATATTCAAACACACGTACATATTCATTTACATTTTGCTGGCAGGCAAATTCCCATCACACAATAAATTCTTTAAAAAATAACGTACCAGTGTATTGACTAAAAACTATAAAACTGGTAAACTAAAAAACAATTCAAACAATCGCGAAAAACGGCAACGGCAAAGTCACAGTTGCAAGTCAATTTACCTACCTGTGAAATGAAATTTTCTCGCAAGAACATCTCTTTCCTTGTGCATCCAGAACGACAGTACGACACAATATATTTGAAAAAGTGATTCTTTTCTCCACACGGGGAAGTTTTCCTCGACTTTTTTCCGACAGCGAACTCAATGCAGTAAATTTTAGGAGCAAAACAGTTTGCTCCTAAAATGTATTGCATTGAGTTGGCCATGTTTTTAATTTTTTTTTTGTGATTGCGTTCAAATTTATACTGGCCGTGCAACGGTTTGCAAGAGGGGGAATGAAACTGACGTCCAATCCGCGTAAACCTGACGCTTGAGGGACTGAGACTGACATCCAATCCGCGTGAAAGACTGGTATCAAGGCTTCATTGTTTTCACAATCAAATGACTGAATGTTATCGTTCCAGATATATATATATATAGAGTTCACTGTGTGGGCCTTAATACTACATCTCTGGTTTCTTTATCAAATCCATTCATTTTTTGTTTGGAAAGGTAATTACAAAAACAAATCAGTAAAAATGAGATAGTACATGGACTACATGATTGAGA